TGTCATCCTTGTGCAGGGACCATGCTAATCTTCTCTGTATCATTCCAATTTTAGTATATGTGCTGAAGTGAGCACTGTAGAATAATTTCTTATGAATCTTTAGTTTCACAATTTTATGGTGTGGGCAAAAACAGAAAAATGTAATTGTTCTCTATACTGACTTAGACTTGTATGAGCTATGGAATAGAAGAGCTTTTTAATAAATGCTCAATAATGAACAGGCTTCTGCACCTCAAGAGAGCATCTCACATTCATTTGTGTCCTTACTTCATCCTCAGTTGCCAAGACTCCCTGCTAAGACAGTCCTGTGTGCCTCACCTCTCTCCTGTAGGAGCCATGAATCTGGGGTCCAGAGAAGCTGCCTTGGTGGGTCTGGATTCTCCTCTGACGGCATACGCTATTGTGGGACACAGAATGAAACCGAGGAGGTTGGGAAGGTGAGGAATTCTCAACAAAGTTCTAGATAAAAGAATTCAGCAACAAATCCCCAAACCCCCAAACCATCATGACCAGGTGGGATTTATTCCAGGGATGCAAGGGTGGGCCAACATTAGACAAATCCATCAATGTAATTCATCATATAAATAAAGCGAAGGAAAAGAATCATCTGATCATCTCAATCAAGGTAGAAAAGCAACAGCCAACATTATTCTCAATGAAGAAAAGATTAAGAGCATTTCCCTTGAGAATGGAAATTAATTAAGAATGCCTAGTATCATAATTCTTACTCAATATTATACTGGAAGTCCTAGCTAGAGAAATAAGACAAGACAGGGACATAAAGGGCATCCAAATCATAACAGAAATAGTAAAATTATCCCTATTCACCGGTGATATGATCCTATCCATAGAATAACCTAGAGACTCTATCAGAAAGTTACTAGAACAAGTAGAAGCAATGTGGCAGGGTAGAAGAACAACATACAAACATCATTTGGGTTCTTGTACACAAACAGAAATGAGGAAAATAATAGCCCACAACAGGATAAAATGTCTAGGACTAAACCTAACCAGGAATGTGAATGCCTCATACAAGGGAAACTATAA